CCTAAACCCTAAACCCCAACCCTTTTAAGGGGCTTAGGGTCCTGGCCCAGAGTTTGAGGCGTTCGAGGCAACGCTCGTGGAACGCCTGCAGAGGCTGGGAGAATCTTCGGGCTATACCCTGGAGCTCGTTTAGGGAAGTTTAGGGTTTAGGATGGTTCAGGGTTTAGAGTTTAGGGTTTAGGGTTTAGGATGGTTTAGGGCTTTTAGGGTTTAGGGTTTAGCTTAGGCTTATAGGCCTTAGGGATGAGGTTTCGGAGTTTAGGGCTTTGTGATGTTGTGTGTGTAATGTGTCTCTGTGCGTGTTAGTGTGCTTGGTTGTGTTCAAAGCTTCAGGCATCTGTCATTCATTTGTAACATTGTATGCAGGATTCTTGTGGATGTGTTGTAGGATCATGGCCGGGATTTGGTGGTTTCCTGGATCGTTTGAGCAGCCGAAGCCATGAATACCGGGGTCTGAATACTTAGTATATAGCGGTATCCCCTTCTAGGCCCTGTATAGTTCATGATATACTGCTCTGCCACATGCTCAAAACCCCTATAGACTATGAAGCTATGAAGGCCCCAGAACAATGCATCTGCATGCAGGTCGTGTGGCAAAGCTTTGCAGCTCCGTCCCAGTTCAGAGAAGGCCTCCGGTAAAGTGTACCTTGTTTTTTCTGGTAGTACAGTCGATGTAGTTATAGGCATGTATCAGTCTCTCTCTCTCTCTCTCTCTCTGTGCAAACAAATATGTATATATTATGTACATCTATGTACACGTGTATATATACATACATATATATATATATATATATACCCTAAACCCTAAACCCTAAACCCTAAACCCATATGTGTACATGCATATGCATGCATGTTTGAACACATCCCATCAGCGTCCGAAGGATAGCCTGTCGCGTGCTTCTCTGTGGACGTGATTGTCTTGGCCAGTCTGAAGCATCCGTCTATTTGGGTTTAGGGTTTAGGGTTTAGGGTGTAGGGATCTATTGGGTTTAGGGTTTAGGGTTTTGGGTTTTGGGTTTAGGGTTTCGGGTTTTTGCTGTTTGAGCACTTGTCGCGGTGTCCCTTTTTGTTCTCTCCATAGCTCAAGCCCCCTTCCCGCCCTCCCTCCCTCCCTGCCTCCCCCCCTCTCTCTCTCTCTCTCTCTCGCTCGCTCTCTCTCTCTCTCTCTATTCCCGTCTGTATCTGGGTATCCGCAGGCTTGTATTTGTTTGTTTATTTGGTTGTGTCGTTCGTTCGTTCCTCTACTTGTCGGCACATGTTTGCGTATGCCTGCCTGCACTCCTACCGTAGATTTGTCCGAACATGAAAGCCTTCAGGAAGCCCGTGGTTCCGTATGCAAATTCCTTACACCCTGTGTTTAGTCTAGATTTTTAAGCTATAGAGATGTTTGGTCTGAATTCCTTACAGTTCGGGCTTTTGATGCTCAAGTCAACGGTCTATGAAGCCCAGAACATGTAGGAACGATTGTGGTGAACAAGATCTTGAGTCGTGCCGTCAGGTTTTCATGCGCAGATAGTCCTACACACACACACACACACGGACATCTCCGCCAGAGGGTTGTGCTGGTTTCTGGCAGGGCCAGATCAGTGCCGATGAACACACCGACGTCAGGACCTCAGTCATGACTCACTTTGCTGCCTTTGAGTCGACGTGGACTTGAGGTGTGTATTATGTTTGAGTATTTCTTGATGTAAGACAAGAGTAGATTACTTCATATACCATTATCTCATAACATGTGTACGTTTCTATTCATGCAGGCGGTCATGTTGCAATCAGCAACACCCCCAAAGGTGCCCATCAGGTATGAGCTCAGGACGACAAGTTGCGACACGGGCTGAAAATCCAAAGGCGAGGTGAGCTTAGCAGCCTGGCAGGTACTACGCAGTGACGTGCGTGACTTGCCCTCATCGCAGAATATTGCGACTGTGGTAGCTATCTAGCTGGGTTGGAGGCTGCTTTAGGCACATTCGCCCCAATCGGGTCTTCGAAGGATGCGAACTCTCGGCTTCAGTTTCAGCTGCATTATAACCAGCCTATATTTATATATAATGGAACCATGCAGTTCTCTGACAGGGGGCAGGCTTAGGGTACTGGCTCCTGACGGAAAGGTCCTAGCTTCAGCGCTGCAGCCGTTGATCCACTCGGGCAGGTCGGGGACAGGGATGGGTGCTTCAGAGGGCTTACACTACAGTGCAAGCGGCTAATATAGGGGCCTCAATAATTAAAAATACTATTCTGGGGGGCTCCGTATTGTAACAATAGTGTAATATACCCCAAATTATAGCATAATATACCCCAAAACCCTATTCTCAGTAGCAAGGCCCATCTATTAGCAGTTGCAGGTCATTCTAAATCTCGAGCGGTGCCCTCCTTTTTGTGCATTTTAGAGCTTGCCATGAACTAGTCAGCCAGTAGGGCCATTAAGATAGGGGCCTTAATGATTAGAACAGGGTTTTGGGGCCATGCTCTTGCCTACTTCCGGGGGCTTAATATAGGGGCCTCAATAATTAGACTAGGGTTTTTGGGCCCATCATACTATAATTACAATAAGAAGCACCCCCAAAATAGTGCTGCTGATGATTAAAGCCCCTACATTAGCCCAAACGAATGCTGCTGAAGATAGGGCTATTCATTAAATCCCGAGAGCGTCAAACTAACACACCCTTTGCCTCATAAAGTTTGGTTGTCTGTACTATTTCGCTTGAGCATGTATGGTACAAGGATGTTCCAGTTCCAGAGGGCCGATTCAGGGTTCACGGTTTAATTAGGAACCGGGGATTGCGGAGTGAAGTTAGGTGTTGCACTGAATGCGGTAATTCTCTTTTGATGGGCTCCGGTCACGGCAACAAAGGGCTTCACCGGATACCTGGATGTGCGTTCATGCACCTGTTCCCCCTTGTTACTACGCCGTTGCAGTTCGGGATTGCCCACCCACTCCCCTCCGCCAGCAAAATGCTCGAAGCCTTCAGACCCAACTACCGCTTCTCCGCAGATCGCTGGAAGAGATCAAAGCGGCGGTTTTCCAAGACCCAGAGGTCGCTGATGCAGGGTGGTGGTTGGGGGTTATACAGCTTCGGGCTTTGAGTCGTTTTTTGGGCAACGACCTGGCATATGATGCAGGGATTTCCAGGGCACCGTCGGTCATCGAAGTTGCAGTCTTGGGCGCTGTGATGACTCGGATAGCATGCAGAGGGGCGACGTGGTTACGGTCATCCACGCTGTCGCCCTATGAGTAGTGTTGTTTTGCTTAGTACCATTCACAGTATTCGTAGGAGCAGTAGTAGTAGTAGTAGTCGTCGTCGTCGTAGTAGTAGTAGTAGTAGTACTAATAGTAGTCGTAGTAGTAGTAGTAGTAGTACTAATAGTAGTCGTAGTAGTAGTAATAGCAGTAGTAGTAGTAGTAGTAGTAGTAGTAGTAGTAGTGGTTGACGTAGACGTAGTAGTAGTCGTCGTCGTCGTCGTAGTCGTAGTCGTAGTCGTGGCAGCAGCAGCAGCAAGCACCAGCAGCAGCAACCGTCGTCGTTGTCGTCGTCGTCGTCGCAGTCGTAGTCGTGGCAGCAGCAGCAGCAAGCACCAGCAGCAGCAGCCGTCGTCGTTGTCGTCGTTGTCGTCGTCTTAGTGGCAGCAGGCACAAACAACAGTTAGTAGTGGTGGCATGGTGGATAGTGGTTAGTGGAAGTAGCAGCCGTCGTCGCCACAGTAGTAGCCCGTTGTTTTCGTTCTGTTGTGTAGCCGTTGTCGGTTGTCGGTTTCCTCAGCATGAAGTCAGAGCCTGAGTTCGGCACAAACAGCAACCGCAGCAGCAGCAGCAGCAGCAGCAGCAGCAGCAGCAGCAGCAGAAGCAGCAGCAGCAGCAGCAAGGCATCACAGAAGTACTCTTCCTAAGTATCCTTCTCATGGCCTTCCTCATCGTCACCATCCTTACCAGCCTTACCATCTCAACTCCGTCCCTCACTTCCCCCACCACCCAGCAGGTGCTTGGCACGGCACTTGATATCGTCGGGGCCTACCTGAAGAATTATGAGGCCGGGCCTTTGATCGCTCTCTGCTGCGATGGATCAGAGCTGCTTACGCGCATGCCTATGACAAGTAACAGAAGTAGGTTTCTGCCATGCTGTTCGGATGTTGTTTGTTGCTCCTCTACTTGGAAGTGTCTTAACATGATGCTGTTGTCAATACTGTTGATGGCTTGTTATTTTTTGTTATTGTTATTATTAGTACTATTATTATTATCGGCAGCTTTGCCTCAGGCTTCAGGTGTTATTGTGATTTTCGAGCCAGCAGGTTTTCAGAGTCTAGATGGAGCCCTCAAGCGACCTGAGTTGTGAAATAAGAAAAATTAGTAGGGTGGCAGGCTCTATGAAAGCCTGTCCGGCAACCTTAAACCTAAACTCACATCCTAGACTCAACTTCCAAAACGGCAAACCCTCTCACACTAAACCCTAAAATCCCTGAGTCCTAATTTCAAGTTCAAAGTCCTGAACCCCTAAACCCTAAACCCTAAACCGAAGCATAGGCAGAACCATGATGCGCAAAGGCCTCACAGGTCGCCGGGCACAAGCCTTGGAACAAATATCACCCTAAGGATCTGCGGGAATCTACGGACTCACATACTATAATAAGGTGTTTTATACATAGCAGATGGCACGACGAGGATTTGAAGCAGTCAACATCAAACTAAAAGCAACCTCAGTTCTACTCAACTACTGATTCTCTGTTGAGGCCCTTGCCGCAAATAGCTGGCCGCAAGCTGTGAAAGCCCTCAAGCCCTAAAGCCATTAGGCTTCTTCTGGCAACAAGCCGTGGCGCCGTAGCTGCGGGCTCGAACAAGGTTACTCGCGTTGCAGTACCACCGCACCAAAATACCAAGTTTCACTGATGCGTCTAGCAGTGCTGGCTACACGGCCCTCCACCTTCTGATCCTCCTCCTACTACTTTTCCTACGAGTAATCAGGAGGAGGATCCTTACTCTTACTGTTATTTCGACTACCACGACTACCACTACTACTACTACTACTACCACCACCACCACGACTACTACTACTACTACTACTACTACTACTACTACTACTCCTATTCCTACTCCTATTCCTACTCCTACTCCTGCTCCTGCTCCTCCTCCTACTACTACACTCCTACTCCTGCTCCTACTCCTCCTCCTCCTCCTCCTACTACTACTACTACTACTCCTACTCCTACTCCTACTCCTACTCCTACTCCTACTCCTACTCCTACTCCTACTCCTACTCCTCGGCTGCTGCTGCAATACCTACCACTGCCACCACTGCTGCTCGTGTCTTTTCTTACATTCGCTTCAGTGTATCATAATAACACAGACGGATTTGCAAGCCATGTTTCCTTGCGCCGGTGTGCGGAGGGCTTTCTCCAGCAAAGGCCCGGCTCAGTCGGAGTTTAACAACAACGGCATGAAAAGCCGGATCAGACGTTTGAAATTTAGTCTACGTGGGGGGTTAAGTCTCTAGGGCATCAAAGAGGTTAGAGCGAGCATCGATGCAAGGAGCCTATTTTTTGTCACGGCACTTGTCAGTCGCTGTGGATGTGGGTGGTTCTCGAAATTAGGATCCCCTTTTTGGTGCGCCAAATCGTACGGCACCCTTATAATATATGGACACTAAAAGGCTTAAGGTTTAGGGTTTAAGGTTCTGACTGCCTTAAACTCCACCCCTACCAAGTGCTGAGCGACCAACCATGAACCAGCCGATGGTTGATACCTCGAGATCTCCTATGCGCCGCTATGCCCTTAAGCTACTGCGCCCCACACCTTGAAGCCCTAAACTGCGAAACCCTAAACCCCTAAACCCTAAACCCCTAAACCTTAAACCCCAAACCCCCTCAACCCTAATTCCCTAAGCCCTAAACTTTAGGCGGTGAACTTAACAGCCTCGGGGTTCCATTGCAAATCATAAAAGGCTAAAGGCGAAGTAACAACTTCAGACAACCCTATATATAGGGCCCCAGTCACTGAAACATTAGTTAGTAGGTTGTCAAGCACATAAGATCATACCATACAAGATAACCTACATAAATTTCACATAAAACAGCACAATAGAATCTGTAACCCAGAAACTCCGTATTTTTTGGGTAGCCGGAGCCCGGGGCAAAGGCAACTTGAACACCCAAGGCGGCTCCCGAGCAGAAAGATAAGGACCTGCCCAGCGCCCTTAACATAAACGCCGAAGCTACGGTTTAGGGTTTAGGGTTTAGGGTTTAGGGTTTAGGTTTAGGGTTTAGGGTTTAGGGTTTAGGGTAGAGGTTTAGGGGCGTAGCGGTGCAGGGGTCTAGGGGTTTAGGGGTTTTAGGGTTCATGGTCCACCAGAATTCTATTTAAATTTCAGCCCCGAAGGTCTACACCGCGAAGACTTCTACAGAAGCCCCCTCCCAAGCCCATACATAAGGCCTCCTAAACCCTAAACCCAAAGCCCTAAACCCTAAGCCCCGAAGCCCTAGTAAGCCCCAAGCTGACAAGACCCCAAGCACCAAGCTCCAAACCAATATAGAAGCCTGAACAAGTAGCTACTAATCTTATTCCTCACATACCCTGAACGTAAGTATACTATCATATATATATATATATATATATATATATATGCACAAAACCCTATTCCAATTCTTACGTAAGGCCCCCGTATCATATCCCTGAGCTCGCTTTCCTCGAGTTCTGTTCTGCAGCGCATGCTCCGTGAGGCTATCGAGTGAAGAGAGCGCCGCGGTTTCGATTCTGTCAAGTATGCGAGCCTGAAGAATAAGACAATCCCCAAGGGTCCATGTACCCAAATACGGTTGATGGACAGAATCCTGCATGACCTTATATACCTAAACTATGGGATTTATGGTACTATACTATATTTGGCTCATGCAGAATTTTGTCCATCAACCGTAGTATCTACTTTGGCCCCATGGTACCTGTATAGGGACTACTTTATGGCCAAAGTATATACTATTCGTGTACATGGACCCCATTGGGAATGGCAGGTCGGATCGTATGGTCCTGGGGAAGCCTTAGCAGGGAACGCTAGATTATCATGTTACAAACTATCTAGAAGGTCATAGTAGGGGTTCACTAAACCCTAAATCCCTGAACATCCCTAAACCAAATCAGGGTATCAGGGTTTCTTGTTGGCGGCTTCATGGGCTTATAGAAGCGTTTTGGATGGGGGTTTTGTGCTTAGGTTGCAAGGTTGGGATTTGGGGTCTTTAGGGTTTCTGGTCTTGGCTTTGGGGTTGTGACTTTGGCGTTATATATATCATGTAAGGGATGTCCCGCGTTTAGGGGTTGGTTTCTGTGACACCTCGAGCAGAGTTCGTAGGTAGCTGCATAAGCTGGTTTTATGATATTATATGACCTAGCTCATTTTTGCTGTGTGTGGGAAAGTCTGGGCTCCGGTGTTTTGCATGCTGGTTGTGAGACTACCGGAGACTAGCGGCAGAGACTAGCTGCCTCTCAGGTGCGATATCCATGGAAGGAGGAGCTCATGCGAGACTCCTGGAGCTTTCTCAAGACGCTCGGCTTTAGGGTTTAGGCTTTGCAGTTGAGGATCTGTTTGTTCGTTAGAGTGTGGGGGTTTTGGGATTTCGGCTTTAGGTGTTTGGAGTCTGGGGTTGAGGATATGGGGTTTTGTGTCGAGGATGTACTGCTTTGGTCTGCTGGGCTAGCTGTCGTCAACGTGCAGGCATTGTTCTGATTCTAAGCTGCGAGAGTACACAGTAAGATGGCGCCTCGTTGCAGTAGCAATATACAAGCCTGAAGAATTACTTCCTTGGTTCCTGATGACAGGTATACCAATAACAGGATCCAAAACTCCGTTCGAATTATGAAGCCCCCTAAACTATTCCGCCTGACTTGTTTAGGCGCTGTCCGTTGCATTTCCAGTATGTGATGTTGTGGTGTGATGTTACTCTGGACATTCACTTTGAGAAGGACTGCCTTGAATTCATAATTAGTTCGGTTTTGCCGATCCCACCAACAGAGCCAGTAGAACCTGATGTTCATCATTTGCTTTATGCCCCAGAGCACGCAACGTCAATTCGGTCGTTTCCTGTTTCCTACTAAGTGTTGGATGTGCGGCTGCTTCCCCTTGCTCTTGCTCTGATTGCTACTTTGTCTGTGTCTCGTGTGTTGTCAGTTTAATTCCTGGCTGAATTAGACTCGAAACAGCACCTCATCCTTGATGTAGACTCCTAAGCAGCATATGCCCGTCCCTTGAATCAGGGGTCTACGTTATTTGGAAACGCTATCCCGAAGCATGGGTCAGTCGAAGTTGTTCATCATGTCAGTTTCGTAAGTCCTCATGACCTCATGGGAAACCAGAAGTTCGACTACGCCTGATCATAAAGCTATAATAAATGGAATCCGGCAACTGCAGCCTTCATCTGCTGACTCCGCACACGGATTACATAGCTGGCCGATTCGCAATAACGGCCCACCACCCTAAACAGCCATCTATGGCGCTAGGCAGGATATGATCGCGCACTTCCGGCAGATGCCTGCAGCTAGTCTGCAGTTGGGCCGGCTTCTATCCGCTGTCATGTCCATTCATATGCTTTTTGGTTCGTATAGGGTTAAACAGGTTTGATACGGCCCAATACAGTCATCCAACAACCTTGATCCATGTGCAAAAGAAGCGCTTGTCGTATGTGCCATATGCAAGCACTTGCCCTTAGAACGCGCCACTACCAAAACAAGCTAAACCCAGAAACCACAACATAAACTGACCCTAACTCCTCACTCTAAACCCAGAAACAGAAGTTGAGCTCGCAACCCAAAGCCCTAAAGCCTAAAACAGAAGTTCAGCTCTTAACCCTAAACCCTAAAGCCTAAAACCGAAGTTCAGCTCTCAACCCTAAACCCTAAAGCCAAAAACCGAAGTTCAGCTCTTAACCCTAAACCCTACAGCCTCAAACCGAAGTTCAGCTCTTAACCCTAAACCCTAAAGCCTAAAACCGAAGTTCAGCTCTTAACCCTAAACCCTAAAGCCTAAAACCGAAGTTCAGCTCTCAACCCTAAACCCTAAACCCTAAAGCATAAGTTCTCTTAACCCTAAACCCTAAAGCCTAAAGCCGAAGTTCAGCTTGAAGCCTTCAAAGGAGAGGGACTCCACAGTGCACATCCGTGCAGACCCGTGGCCGAGGTTCACGATGAAGGAGTCCTAAATGGGTAGTTCTCTAAATGGGTTTAGGGTTTGGGGTTTAGGGTTTAGGTTTAGGGTTTAGGGTTTAGGGTTTAGGGTCTTTTTAGGTCTCCAAAGATAGTACGGCACCCTTATCAAAAGGACCCTAAGAGGGACCCTAATTTTGAAAACTACCCAAACACAGGGGCCTAGGCAAGAGTGTCGGCGTCAATAGCCTCTGTGTAATTCGTGTGTACTATTACCAATACATACCAATACTATTTAGGGGGGTTCCTTTTTATAACTATAGTATAACATACCCCGAAACCCTATTCTAATTGTATTACATGGTTTAAGATGGGACTTCATTCGAAGGTTTCTATCCCTCGGGTCCTATGAAGGGACCTGGGTTACGGCCGGTTTGGTGTTGAGGTAAGTAGGTCCCTTTCCAGGAGCTTCTTTGGCATCCCACAAGCGAATCTGGGTGGTGAGATATCCAGTTGCGGATTTCAGCTGGGTTCATGATGGCTTATAGGCAGACAGCCCCCAAAGCCCTAAACCCAAAACCCTAAAGATTACTCCTGAATCCTGAATGCGGATTTCGGAAGTCGAATGCTGAGCCCCGTCTGCCGGAACACGGAGCCCCACACGCTAAGCCCTAAATGCTGAAACCCTTATAAGCCCAATAGCACGGTTTAGGCTTTAGGGCAGTTTAAGGTTTCAGACCTGTGGTATAAAGACCCCCCCCCCCTCAAGCCAACAAATAATCGAAGCTCTACTTCTTCTGCCTCCTAGTTAAGCCATGACACCCTTCAAACCTAAGCCTAGGCCGTGGGATGCTATGAGGACCCTAAACCCTAAGCCCTAAACCCTCCAACCATAAACCTTAGGGTTCAGAGTAGGTTTAAACCCCCACCTAGACAGCCCTAAACCCTAAACCCTAAACCCTAAACCGAACACCTTAACCTGCAATTTCAAAAACACTGCCCTAAACCTAGGGTTTAGGGTTTAGGGTTTAGGGTTTAGGGTTTAGGGTTTAGGGTTTAGGGTGAAATCCCGTAGACCTAGGGACCCGCAGGAGTTTCTCGCAGAGAAGGGCCTTCTGCCCGCGGTGATCACGAAGCAGCTCTCAAGATTTAGGGGTTAGGGTTTAGTTAGGGTTTAGGGTTTAGGGTTTAGGGTTTAGGGTTTAGTTAGGGTTTAGGGTTTAGGGTTTAATCAGGGTTTAGGTTTCAGGGTTGAGGGCTTTAGGGTTTAAGGGTTTAGGATTTAGGATTTAGGGTTTGGGGTTTAGGGTTTGATTAGGGTTTAGGGTTTGGGGTTTAGGGTCAAGAGAAGTTACCAGGGTAGTTCTCTAAACTAGGGGTCCCTTTTCAGATCCTGTTTATAAGCGTGCCCTACTATCTTGGGGGGCCGAAAAGCCACCCCCAAGCGAAGTTACCAGATTTAGCTAGGTGTCCTGGTGGTCCCTTTTCCCTTTTGTGTGGTCTTGGGCTCCTTGCAAAATAGCAATACCCTAAAGCCTAGACCCTAAACGGCGAGGTTTTAGTGTGGAAGGCTTCTGAGCCATTAGTTCATCTCGCAAACCTGCTGCTTCAGACGGTGCCTGCAGCCACGGTGTGTTTCTGAGGTCGAGAATGTGGGGCTTTGAGAAGGGGAGGGTGCCTCACGTGGAATTTAGGGTTTAGGGGCAAAGACTGAATAATTCGCAGCAAGATTATCTTGGATTTCCATGCGTTTCTACATTCTAAGCTCAAGTGAGTACTCGGACCCCCCATGGGCCCTTTAATGGAGACCTTATGGTCATTAATAGTGGGTATTTAGGGTATATTAGAGTGTAGTTGGGGGGATCTAGCTAGGGCCTCTCTTTGAGCACCTTTGGGGTTTGTAAGGTTTAGGGTTGGCACCTCTGAGCTGGGATCATGGCAAAGGGCGGGAACAACAGGGTTTCGAGGTTTAGGGTTTAGGGTAGGGTATAGGATTTAGGGTTTAGGGTTCAGGTCTAGGGTAGGGTGTAGGGTTTAGACTTTAGGCTTGAGAGTCCAGAGGTTTACGGGATGAGGGTTCCGGTTGTTTGGGTTTGGGTGTTAGAGTCCGAGCTTCGGGGGGTTAGGGCTCAGGCTGCAGGGTAAATCTAGGGGTTTAAATAATTACCTATGCTATCTTGGGGGGCTCCTTATTATAATATAATATATGTAAGGGGCCCAAAACCCTATTCTAATTTAAGGCCATTATAGGTGTTAGGAGTTCGGGGGACTCGGGTTCAGGGTTTACGGCTTAGGGTTCAGGGTTCGGGGGTTTAGGGTTGGGGCCTTGGGGTTTGGGTATGCTGGGGCGTTGAGAGATGAGGAATACGCCGTGGACTCGAGTTGTATACGTAGGCTGATATTTTGGAACCCTGCGGATTTCCAGGAATGGGTGGTGCATCCTAGATCCTACTAAGCCAGCCCAAACCCTTAACCTGAAATCTGCTAAACCCCAATAAAGCCCTATACCCCTAAAGCCCTGAAACCTAATCTTGCTAAACCCCTATAAGTCCTAAACCCTACAGCCCTATAAGCCCTAAGCCCCTCAAGTCACGGTTCGGGTCTGGGTGGTGTTCCCGAGTCGAGAGTGGTCGGTCGTGGCGGGCTCTGTTCTGTGATTGTAGACTTTAAACCCTAAAACCCTAAAACCCTAACGCCTAAAGCCCTAAACCCTCAACCCCTAAACCTAAACCCTTAAACNNCCCTAAACCCTAAACCCCAATTGGTTTGCAGGATGCGGCCGAAGAGATTGGCCGCAGTAGTACCCTTTTTGGCCCTTTTCGTTTCGGGTTTCCCTTATTAAAGGGTTTAGGGTTTAGGGTTAAAAACCAAATAGTAGGCAAAAGGGTGCCCTTAATTTACCTAGTTCTTTGTGTCAAGATTGCTAAGCCCTCCAGGTATCTTGCTGCTCTGTATTTGTTAAAGGTTAAGGTCTACTGCTCATCACAAACGGTACCGGGACCCTCCTTGTACACTTAAATAGGGGTATATGGTCCCAAATAATGGGTATTTAAGTAGAGGGTGGATGGAGGGTCTACCCATAGGCCCATAGTAGTTCCTTTTGGGATTACCTTATAGGATTCTAAAGATGAACCCCACAAAAAGGAACTGCTATGCGGCCTATGGGTAGGTATATAGTCTGTACCAAGGGCTTCTCGTGGCATTATATTCCCCGTGAATCCCGTTGAGAAAGCGCGCAATACGCCAGGTACGGGCCAAACCGGAAGGTCACCTTCAACAAGGCTGAGATGGAACGGTACCTTGCTAGCACATGGGTAGATTTCTAAATTGGGGTCCCTTTTGGGGTCGTGCCGTAGTATATTGGGGACCTAAGAAGGGACCCTAATTTAGAGAACTACCCACATGTTGGTGAATCTGGGGTCCCATAGCAGGGTTTTCAGTACGGATCTTATGAATTAGGGTTCGGATGTGGGGAGAGCATACAGATGAGGCTGACGGATGTTGGGGGTGTGCATGTCGGAAGATGGTTGCCCTGTAGGGTCTTGTAAGAACCAAGACCTACATACCTGGACATACTGTTGATGATATAAATCGGCACTACCCTAGGGCTCCAAGTATACAAATAGTACCTACTTTGGGGTCTAAAGTCTGTAAATAGTACCTACTTCGGGCTTTTTGGAGCCCCAGGCTTACCTTAAGGATCCTAAACTAAGGGAATTTTGGCATCTTCCTTATTATGGGTACTGCAGGATGTATTTCATCAGCCGTATGATGACCGTTTTCAAGATTGCTTATATCCCGGATCGTATTCGCTACGGATTCTCTTGCGGCCCCCAGCCATCCGAACTTGGCCTAATAGAGGGGCCTTAGTAATTAGAATAGTGTTTGGGGCTGGAACCTCCAACACCCCATTCTGATTATTAAGACCCCGGCAAGACAGTCCGATGGTCCATGTGTTGGTCTCTACTCGGAAAAAAGGCACCCGAATTTACCTCGAAATCCTGATGTAAGCATGTTGGCTGCTCTTCTATGCAGGCCCCTTCATGAGTCAGAGAAGCTCCCTGGAGACTAGTACTCGCAGTGTGGTGAAGTGGTACCCTCCCTTCTCCTCTCTTTCACGGGTCGTCTCGCCCCCCCCCCCCCGGGGTCTCCTTCTTGGTATTTATGCTTGAGAAGAGTTCAGGGTTTAGGGCCTAGGGTTTCAGGTTCCAGACTGGTTAGACCGCGTGTAGTCTTGTAGTGTGGATTCTCCTCGTTTGCCACATGTGCAGACATGCGATTATCGCCAGAGCACTAATTGTGGCAGCGTGTGACATGTGGCCGTTCTCTGAACATTACAGAGGTTGCACCTGGTTTGAGAATGCTTCATCAGCATCGTATGTTTGTTGTTGCCAGTTTTGTAGGAATTTGCCCGGTGTGTTTCAGAACTTTAGAACGGTTATGTAGGGTTTATACACAGATCGCGGAACTAAGATGATTGTTGGAATGCCCAGTGAAGGGACCCTATTCAAATACAAATTGCCCAAAGACAAACCCCAGGCCTCGTACCCAAGAGCCGCCTGACCAGAAACCCTGAACCACATCGCAACCCCTTGCCGCAAATCCTTTGGGCCTTACGCCAACAAGTTGCAGGATAGCCGTTTGCATAACCCCTAAACCCTAAACCAGGATAGCCGTTTGCATAACCACCAAACCCTAAACTCTAAGCCAGGATAGCTGTTTGCATAACCCCTAAACCCTAAACCCTAAACCAGGATAGCCGTTTGCATGACCCCTAAGCCAGGATAGCCCGTTTGCAGAACCTCTAAGCCCTAAACCTTAAACCAGGATCGCCTTTTTTCGTAGCCGTAGGTCTTGTGATCTATCTGCCCCAAAACCATGTTCTAATATTGAGGCCCCTAAACCCTAAACCCTAAACCCTTACTTATAGTAGCGACCCCTTTACGGACCCCTTTAAAGGAAACCCCAGCCCCCTAAGGTTTAAGGTTTAGGGTTTAGGGCTTAAGGTTTAGAGTTTAGGGTTCAGGGAGTGGCATTTGAGGGACTTGGTGAGAATTGAGAACCTCGACAAAAGTTACAGTGAAGGTCCTAACGTGCGCATTTATTTCACGGGCCACCGAACCGCCGTATGTTGGCGCACGCGCTGGATGAAGACAAGCTGTATAACAACCGTTGGAGGCTGCAAAAGGTTGAAGGCGACCGATGTTCTGCGAGAATGTTCCTAAGTAGTCATACGTATGTCTGGGAACACGGTACGTAGAGTCGACTCATGTAGTCCATGGTGCAGTTAGATTTCCCCTAACCCGGTTTGAAGAAATGGCCAATGGGCCCAAGAGCACTCATGTGTAGGAGCGATGCCAACTAAAGCAAACTTCTGGGCATATCGTGTCAAAGATCGTCGAACGGATCGAAAAGCGACAACGATTGGGTGCCGATTCTTGAGCTTTTTCATCCAAGCCGGGATGACCAGTCGCGCCAGAATGTCTACATCGCAACCCAAGATTCTAAACAGGGCTGGCAGCAGCACGGTTCCTGAGCCCTTCATCCAAGCCGCTCCCTAAACACCACGTATTGAACGTTAAAAACTCAAGCACTACATACTAAACTTCAGTGTGCAGTGCTTGACTTTAAACCCTAAGCCCCAAAAATCTAAACTTTAACCTGGAAACTCTGAAACAAGGACGTTTCGTCCCTGGGGCTCCAGTTACATAGATGGGAGTTTCAGAAAATTTGGGGGTACCTTATTTTGGGGTCCTTATAATATGGATCCTATTATTTGGGGTACATTATTAGGGTCCCCTATTTTCGGAAACTCCCAGATAGCAGGTTACGCGTCTTTCCTATTGTAATGCCCGCAACCCATCGTGGCTACTTTGACGAGAAGCCAGAGGCTGCTCCGAACCAGTTGTAAATCTAACAAGCCAACCCTGTGTGGTCACAAACGGGACTGCCCTTGCATTCCTTGTGATCCTGCGGCGGTTCCGAGCACATTCTCAATTGTTGCGTGCAGAAAGCAGTGCTCTTGTGTAAAGGCGTTCAAGGACGTTCCCTAGCATGCATGTTTGACGGGTAATGCTTCACGTTCCGCAAAGCCTGTTCTTAGGCCTTGATCAGGTGCATGTATGGCCAATCTAGAGAGGGCTAGGTGGTCGTGATCCTTTGTAGACCGTCATGATGGAGCTTCTGTCACATATTCCCCGCGAGCGCTTTGATAGTTAGTGTTGCTTCGCACGGTAAAAGCACAGAACAAGTTGGCAAAATAGTAGACGAAGTTGGAATAATCAACACAAAAACTGTGTTGTGCACACCATAAACATGTAAATCTTATGACCATATAACAACTTAGCAAAAATATATGGTACAAGGCACGACTGCTACACAGCAACATCGGAGCAGCCAAGGATAGCTTTCGACGAGCCCGAAGGACACGTGTCGCACCTGTTCAAAGGCGGAGCTACCGCGAACGGAAGGGGTTTCCGACATGGTGTATGCATACAGAGACAGCCCAACACCGCTTCATCAACGGACACACCTTGCATAACACAATGCGGCTCTTTTGTGATAGGCGGAGGATTCTCCGAGATTTGTTCTTAAATCCCAACGGCCCGTTCCGTCAGCATTGAACATGCAGCCCCAGGACCAGGTCTGTCCAGGATTTGGAATTCAAGGTTTCAAGGTGTAATGCATGTTTAGGGAGAGGTTCACGGGCTACAAAAGTTCTAGTGCAGATTGAGGCTTTGGGGGTTTGGCTAGTGTCAAGGTTCATAGCACACTAACCTTGCTTGGTGTTGGTTTTGTTGAAGTTCCGGATACCATTTGTTGACTGCGCCGGGCCCGATGAGGCCTTGTTTAGCTTGCTCACAACCGCATAATCCCGTACTCAGAACACCCCATGAGCCTTAAACGGGTACTGGTCATGTAAGGCAGGATTTGCCTGGTCGCTGCAGTGCTCGACAGGAAAGCTCCATTCATGAGAGGTTTAGCGGGGAATTCTAGATGATATGGAAACCTTACTAATTGAGAATACTATTCTTTAGGGTTTTGTTTTGTAAGTCTATTTTAACATACCCCAAACCCTCCCCAATGTTAAATCGAAAAGCGAGATAATCAAGTATATTATACCCACCGCTTAGAGTTTCGATGTAACCGACAGTCGTATCTGCGCCTGGGGGCCCAACCCTAAACTGGCCAGAAACTAGCCGGTGGCCCTCAACCACGAAACCTCAGAGCCCTAAACCGAGACCCAAACCCCAAGCCCCAAACCATCCTAAACCCCCACCCCTGACCGCTAGAGAGCCACAAACCCAAAACCTGCACGATTCCTATATCCATTTCTATAAATATTCTATGAATATTTCTATTGCTATTGTTTTGTTATTCCTATTACTACTGCTATTGCTATTCCCACTGGGGGCTCCACCTCCCGAAAAGGCCGGCTCTTCCGTATCCACGTGGGCCAATGGATAGCCTGGAGCTCAGGTTGCGCATGTTCGGGATTTAGAGTTTAGGACTTAGGGTTCAGGGTTGCGGGTTTAGGATTTAGGGTTTAGGGTCAAGCACCTCGACCCTACGCCTAGTACACCCAAGTTAGAGGGTTTAGGGCTTCGGATGACATACATTCCAAAAGGTCCTAGGTGCGTATATGTGAGAAAATCGGGCTCCTACAACAGACATTACTATTATGGTTTGGGCAAGTATACCACATATAGATAGTTAGGACTCTTTGGGCATACATGTGCCCGTTAGAAGGTTTAGGGCTTAGTGTTCAGGGTAGTTGGATAACCTATGTAGAGGTGAGGATTTTCTACCAAGAAGCCCAGGCAAGCAAACAAAAATATAGTTTTGTGCCTGTGCAACTGGCTAAAGGGCCCACACAAGCTTGAGGAACCTGTATCGGGGAGGGGAAGAAAACATGCAGAAATCAGCATTCCTGAATCTCTACAGCCGAGCATCCTCCTGGTTGTGTGGCCGTTTGGTGTTTACTTGTTTAAAGATATCCGTCTGGTTTGGGGTTTGGCAGCTTGCTCCGCTTGGGACGTGCTGTTCTGGTCGAAGCCCTTTGTGACCCCTTGATTAAAGTTGAAACTGGTTGCTATGATTTTGATTGGTAACCGACTATGGATCTGATGGCCCGCATAGAAAGGGGATGCATCGACCTCCTGGCCTTTTCAGACTGCATCTTGTAGACCCTGTGTACTATCTTCTGGGGTTTAGGGTTTAGGTGGTTTGACAACCTACACCAGGAGGAATGTGTGGTGAAGGACTTGCAAGCCCATCCGGTGGAGCAGGCTGGGGCAAGTCTTCTCTTAGCCCGAGTACCCTGTATGCCTACACCCCAGGCCCTATACACCCAATAGCTCCTATGGCCTACATCTGTCATGTAAATCAGTCCCCAGTCGACGAGGATTTTGCCCAACATTGAGACGCCGTAATAAGGGAGGCTCATAACTCAGTGGTTTACATTAATCAATGTCAAAAGTTCTCTAAGACAGTAAGAAGCCCTGATACAAGCCATCCATAAAACCGCCGAAGCTCTCAACCCTGTACCCTAAACCCTAAACCCGAACCACAAAGCTTACACTTTCCTAAACCCTAGATATAGTCTCCATTGTAGTTCCCTCTTTTGGTTGAATACAGTTTGTGTTCAGAATTCTATACTATGTGACTCCCAAAAGGAACTACAATGAAGACTACAGGTAAACCTTAAACCCTAAACCTTAAACCCTAAACCTTGAACCCTAAATCCTAAACCCTAAACTGCCCTAAACCCTAAACCTTGAACCCTAAATCCTAAAAAACTAACAAAACTCCGTAGGGCTCCAAGGGCTTCCCGTGGTTCTGGCCGAGGGCTGCATCTAGTTCCCAGGATTTCGGGATTAGGGCTGTAGGGTTTTAGGGCTTTAGGGTTTTAGGGTTTAGTGTTTACGGTTTAGGGTTTAGGGTTGAGGGTTGAGGGTTGAGGGTTGAGGGTTTAGGGTTTAGGGTTTTAGGGTTTAGAGGTTTCGGGTAGTGTTTCTGGCTTTCGCTCGGTTTGTCTAGGGCGCTGTTTGCAAAGTTGCATCGGGTGTTACACTTTCCTTTGGTTAGTAGGGAATGGAGGAATGGGCTACAATTATAACTACTATTACTACCATTCTTCCATTCCCTACTAACCAAAGGTAAGTACAGGGGCTTTCTGATTCCAGGTCTCTAGGGTTTGGCCATGAGATTCAGGGTTTTGGACGTATCGGGATCAGGAGCCATCTAGTACTCAGTCAGGTTGTGAGTTCGGAGTTCAAGGTGTTGATTGCTATTCGGGGTTGAAAGCTACTTTATGCTCGAAATGTTCCGGCTTGAAGAAACTCTCCTGGCTGGATGATTTCTGTAAACCCGTGGAGCTTCATAGGTGCTTTAGCGCTTTGTGGTACCTGGTCTTATACTACAGCGTCATGCTTGTATGTTGTGATGCACATAAGCTCAATCCCTGAGCCTGCACAGAGGAGCTGTACTTTGTGCGCTTCGAACGGCATGTGCCTGGGAACATGACAGTGGTACCTTGGCGACCAAGCTTTGGCGAAGAGGTGTCTGCGGAGCAGCAATCCTTTGTAACATGTCTGGACGACACGTGTGATTTGCTTAGCATAGGTGCGCACATGGTATCTGAGATGTTATTGTTGGCCAACCGGCTGATGCATTGTCTGAATACTTCGGCCAGTGGCCGTATTCTCGGTTGGCCATGGGGGCAATGAGTGTGCAACCTCATCTAGCAGCTGTTACGGTGTTGAGTCCTTCAGGGTTTTGCTTTTGAAGCTTTTCGGTTCAGACATGGGGCCGGACCCCACCTCTCGCCCTCCTGCAACAGCATGTCTACTGCAGGTACCGATTCCGGTGTCGATCTCAGGTCTCTGGGGTGCCTTGGCTTGCATGTGATTCACCGGAGAGCCGCTGAACCTCAGGCCGGAATCCCCGAAATCTAAATTCTCAACCCGGTCCTCAACGAATTCACATCCTCGTATCTTCGTAAACCCCACAGAAGTCTGCATGCATGCATGCATGCATGCATACATACATACAATGTATATGTGCATGTATGTACGTACGTACGTACGTATGTAGGTATGTATGCATGCATGTGTATGTATGTATATGTACATATGTACAGATGTTTACAGATGTAGACATAGATACAGATATAAAGCCGCAGGATGCCCCGGCTACCGGAAGGGCGGCCACGTGGAAGTGGCCTTGCCGACCGTTCTTTGCGAGGTCCGCTTGGGTTTGGGGTCTCAGGGGCTGGTGTGTAGTGAAGAGTTGTCGTGTTTTTGTAAGAGTCTTGATCGTATGGTGTACGGGTCTGCAAGGTTCCATAAAGGTGTTGTGGGGTGTCATAGAGCGTCATATATAGAAAACAAGAAGGGCTTCAGTCGCTGTCCTACAAGGTGCGTGTTATGAGAAATTTCTGTCGGAAAGCCATGGGGTTAGCGCACCTTTCTCCCGACCGTGCCTCAAAGAGAGTTTGGGATTGAGGGTCTGGGGCGTAATATAGTGGCCTTAATAATTACCTATAATATTTTGGAGGTTTCTTAATGTAATTATGGTATAATGGGCCCCAAAACCCTATTCTAATTATTCAGGTCCTACATTAGGGTGTATACGGGTTTGAGGCAGCTTGGTGCGAAGACGGGATGAACTGCAGGAAACAGAACCCTGAATTTCTATGTATTCCGCCGGTGACTACTGTCTGCTTTGAATTCAGGGATTTCCTATACCCTGAACCCTAAACCCTATAAACCAGAATATACCCTAAACCCTAAACCCTGAATCCTGAACCCTATAAACCAGTATATACCCTAAACCCTAAACCCTGAATCCTGAACCCTATAAACCAGTATATACGAGTTATACCGGCACATGGAAGGTTTCTTTCGGAAAACATGTGAAGAGCTGACCCAGGACTTTTTGCGTGCTCGATTTGGGAGTATCCGCTTGGCGGTACCCCTGGGGACTTCATTCTTTAGGGTTTAGGGTGTAGGATTTAGGATTTTGGGGTTTAGGGTTTAGGGTCTATAGGGTGTAGGATTTAGGGTTTAGGGTTTCGGTTCTGAACCATATAAAGGCCCAAAACCCCTTAAACCCCGTGTGCCCTGACGCCAAACCCCAAACCCCACGCCTTGAAATGTCTGTCCTACCCCGCCCCACATCCTCAACCAGAACTGGCGCCGTCGTGTCAGGTGGTTGGTGAGCGGATACCTCCTCCGCTAATCGTCGACACTTCTAAGGCATTTACTGGGAAGAGCATGAAAGAGCATAACATTGAGGTCGGAGTGTTTTTTAGCAGTATCCCCTTATGAAGTCCCTGATGGAAGCACTACAATCCACCACACAAGCCCAAACTTTTCGATCTCGCTGTCAGTCAAGTCTACGTTTTTCAGTTGAGTTTTGCTATACGGGGAGTTCCGAAAATAGGTGACCCTACACAGTTGGCTCTTTTAAGATAGGTGAGATAGGTGAGATAGCATCTAGGTTT